TGGAGTATAATTCCATTTTCAGCTAACAATTCATTACATTTGGCATTAAAGAATTATGTGTCATTGTCTGATCTCAGGGTCTTGATTCTAAAATCAAACTGTGTCTTTATTATTGCGGTGAAATTCTTCAATACAATACACACTTCACACTTAGATTGTATTAAGCATACCCATATGTATCCAGTAAAATCATCAACAATAGTCACAAAGTAATATTTTCTGTCATGTGTATGTGTTTTGTAAGATCCCCACACATCTAAATGAACCAGCTAAAATGCTACTTTAGACTTGCTTACACTTAAGAAATTGCAATCTACTTTGCTTAGCTAGAGGACAGATGCTACAATTTCTTGATTTTCCTGCACATATGTTGTCTTGTAGAGATGAGATATGTTGTATAGAGTTCCAGGATGCATGCCATAGTTGTGTTTGTTCTTCTTTCATTACTGCACCTACTATTATGCCTTTTGCTTGTGCATATTCCCTTAGTATGTATAGACCATCAGACTCTCTACCAATTCCCAATATCTTTCCCCTGTAATGTCCCTACAACATACAAAAATCATGGAAGAACTTCACTATGCAAGTGAGTTTTGGCACTGATAGCAAATTAAACTTGAAATCTGGAACATGTAGCACATCCTTTATACATGTGTCTCCTAAAATAGTAGCATTTCCATTATACATTATTTATGCTTTATTTCCAGTTGGCAATTGAACTCCTTGACCTCCAACTTGCTTTGTATCACTCGTTATATCATTATCATGAGTAATATGATGGGTTGCCCCTGAATATACTATCCAACTATTTAAGGGAATATTGGATTGTAAAGTCATAATACCTGCCATATTAGTGGAGCATTCTCCTCCTCCTTGTTTGTTCAGTGGCCCTACAAACTGCTTATACTGTTCTTCAGAGAGGAAATGGCCTTGTGGCTGAGTACTTGTCCCTCATATTTCTTCAATTCTTGCAGCATTAGCAAAGGTTCTATTTCCTCCTAGCTGAGGTGACGATTATCCAATGTATATGAATTTTAAACTCGTACTTTATCAAATTATAGTATAGAAAGATGCCGATCTCACAAAGATTGGTTTATCTATTCTACAAATGGTTCTTGTTTTAATTACTATTTGAGAGAATTAGAAAAGTTGAGTTGAGAGTTAAATAGCAAATATGAACAAACAAACAGTAGAGAAAAGCTTTTTTTTTCTTTTACAAATATGATAAAGATGTTGGGATCTTGATTTCACTTGATAATTCAATTATAAAGCATATATTTATTTTCCAGTTTCTATTTCTTACAAAATGCATAAATGCCTCTCTCGATTACACTTATACATGATTACTTAAATTGAACAATTAAGAGCATTTTTCTTGGTTATACAAATTAATTATCAAGATAATAATATTAAAGAACCAGAAATATATACTTGAATTGAAACATGCTCTTTTTCAAAGTAAATCCCTTTTGGTTACTTTACTTGTTATAACTTTAATTTTAAACTATTCGACTCTTTCGATTTCAGATTAGTATAAAATCAAATTATAACACGAAACAGATAGATGTGATTAAATAAATGTCAACACTTATCAACACCACTATTAATCTTATTACCCCTTCCGCTTCTCTCGATTACAAAATGAATAACAAGTTAGTTAGTGATACAAAGTGAATAGGTGTGATTAAACTAAATAACATCTAACTATAAAAGTTGATAAAATTATAAATCGAAAGTTTCAAACCAAGCAAGTGAAACTGAAAAATAAACTTTCACTATTATATAGAATTATTGAGATCGATCATTCTCCCAACATATTATAATTACTTCATACTGGAGCTAGTACTACCAACAAAAATATTCATGTCCACTAAATAATAAAATAGAAAGAAATATTCAATAAGAATAATTCCACTTATTTAATTAAAAATAGGAACTAGAATAATTTTTAACCTTGAAACTTATTTAGAACTAAAATAAAAGTGTAGCCATCAATGTGGTCTACGAAGATGATTAAAAACTAAAATAAACTTTGCAAGAGGAATGATTCCAAATCTCCATGATTACTTCTGCAGGGATTGGTAATGTCCATTTTATAGCCATGAGATAACTTGATGGTAACCGTTTTGCTTTGTTGGAAATAGCTAGGTTTTGGTTGAAAATGGTTTTTTGGCCTTTTAGTTGTAATTTGGTTGCACAATATCTTTCATTTTCTTTTCTTGACACTTTCTCCTTCTTGCTTTTTACTCTGTTGTATTTCTTCCTTGAAATCTTTCTTGACCTTGCACCACTACTTTTGCACTCTTTTCTACATTATTTAGTTAAATATACGAAAAATATTTGATAATTTTTATGCTTTTACAAGGATAATCATATATTTAAAATCTAGAAAAATGTACTTATCATGAGGTTTCTTTTTGCTTTAAAAATCTGGATAGCCAACAATTTTATAGCAGTTTTCTTTTAATGTCCCTTGTAACCACTGTGTTCACAAATCAGTCCAAATTTCTTAGTTTTAAAACCTTGTCCTTTTTTCTGCAAACATAGTCAATGAATCACTATTTGTATCTACTATACCCAATGTCCTTTGACTCTCCTCCTGTATCACTATAGCATATGCTTTATTTACCGTCACCACTGGCCTTTTGAGCAGAACATTGCTTCTTACATAGATCTCATTCAGTCCCATGAGAAACTACAAAAGTATCTGATTTCTCAAGTGTTCTAATAAAGGCCTCGATTCTTCACAATCATAGGAAGGCAGAGGCATTAACACATCCAATTCATTTCGTAAATCTGATATTTTTGTATAGTAAGCAGTCACAGAATTTGTGCCCTATTTAAGACTAGCAATCTCTGTCCAAAGATGATATATCCTAGTTAAACTACATCTATCAAATTTTTCCCTAAAGTCACTTCATATTTTCCTAGCATTAGGTGCAAAAACTATGTTTGGAATCAATTCATTAGAAATTGTGCTTCCAATCTATGACAGTACAATCGCATCACATTTTTTCCATTATGCTACCAATTCTCCTCTATACGAGATTTTTACACACGTTCCATCTACAAATCCAAACTTGTTTTCCCCCTAGGTGCTAGTTTCATTGCCGACTCCACAGGGCATAATTTACCGACCTTGTGAGCTTAATCAAAACTAAAACCATATCTGGCGCATCTGCTGCTTGAAGAAATAGATTTATGCTTGAGAGAGGTTACCTTGTTTCCTGCCATGGCGAATCGGAATTGTGCTTCGTCGGCAATGAATTCCCCCAAATTTTAGCTGCCTTGCTAGAACTCCTCGTCAGAGCTGACTTCCTCAGGTTCGCCGCTCTGATACCATGTCAATTTACACAGATTCTGTGTATAACCCTAGCAATTGAAGCATGTAGTAGAATGAATCAATAATGAGAGGAAGATTCTAGAGAGAATAAAAGAGAGAAGGTTTTATTTCAAGTAGTATATATACACTCGTCTAATGTTCTAATATAGAACAGTATTAACCACTTTTAACCAACTAACATTACTAACTCCTCTAACTTTCTGTATTTACAAACTGACCCCTAGAGTATATTCTCTATTATATCAATAAGACAAGTGAAGAACATTCTAATAACCTATGTCTTAAATAATGTATTATTGGATTGAATATAGTTTGATGTATAATTTGTGTTTTTCACTACTATTCTTGTCTTCTCTTTTTTTTTATGTTTATGAGTTGTTTTCATTCAATGTTGATGTTAATAATTCGAGTGTCTGGTCACCAATTAGATGGAAGTAAAAATTTGCCTTAGATGAATGAGACTGAAAAGTGAAATTTAGATTTAAACACTAGATAACCTTGTTTAGGCATTTTGTAGAGTTTTCTTGAAGGTAAATGACTAGGAAGAAGGAAATGATCAACTTGTTGCTCCTCAAATATAGCTATTAACTATTTGTGAAGAAATTAATTAAATAAATTTGCCTTAGATGAATGAGACTGAAAAGTGAAATTTAGATCTAAACACTAGATAACCTTGTTTAGGCATTTTGTAGAGTTTTCAGCTACCACTTCTACAGGTTCATCACTCATTGTCCCGTCATCCGTTAATTCATAACAAAGTTGCTTAAAAATTTCCTCTAGGCTTGAAGGTAAATGACTAGGAAGAAGGAAATGATCAACTTGTTGCTCCTCAGATATAGCTATTAACTATTTGTGAAGAAATTAATTAAGTAAGACGTCCACCCTACAATTTTCTTATTACTTCTACGCCTCCAAATCCGTAGGAAGGTGAACTGATTGATAATGTCTCTTGCTGAAAGCTAGCGGTTGACATAATGCCTTGATGCATATAAATAGTGTTGAGTGTGCAAACAAAATTTAATATTAGTAGTTGAAAAGATTGATAGCCTACATATAAGGTGTAGTTATCTCTGGTGTGAGGGCTTTTGGGGAAACCGTGCGAGCTTGGACCAAAGCGGACAAAATCACACCATGTTAAGAGTATCTTTGGGCTGGCTTAGCCCAACAACTGGTATCAGAGCCAATGTTCAGCAGGACGAGTATGGTGATGGCTGAGTGATGGCATGGTGCTTGATTTGTTTACCCTTATGAGCTTGGAGATGTGCACACACGAAGAAGCTAGTTGCAGGCTTCAGTTGTCATACGTACTCTGACGATATGGGTGGCACACAATGAATCTCGAAAATTGACCTGTGGATCGTGGTAATGGGCCACGCATAACTTAGTTCGAAGAGGAGATTGTTGGGTGTGCGAGAAAAGTCCCACATTAATAGCTGAAAAGATTGGGAGCCAACATTTGAGGTGTACGTATCTCGTAATGGTGTGAGGCCTTTTGGAGAAAATCGTGCGATCTTGGCTTAAAGTGAACAATATCACACTATATTATGAGTATCTTCGTGTTGGTTTAGCCCAACAAATAGTTTGTTGCATGACACGAATAATATACTTTTTTTATCAAGAATTTAGAAATATATGCTACTGGACAATACTAAGCATCTACTATTTGTAACTGTAACTATAAACATTGCTTGTGCTCCTGGTCTGCTACTGCCTTAACTACAACAAAATGGTAAAAGAAAAAGACATGGTTCTCACTTCTGTATTTTGGTCTAAGGTGAAAATAATATTTCATCTACTTGTTCTTCACTTGTTTGACAGTGGAAGAAGATAAGAGATTAACTCATTTTAAAAACTAATAAATTCATCACACTATCGGCCTTCTTCCATTGTGATTGTCAACTCAACTTTAGAGGAGCTGTGTGGCTTAGCTGATAAAGCCGGAGATACATTAGAAACATATTTCCTTGATACGAAAGCTGGTTGATTAGGTTTTGGAATAGGCATACTTTCACTGCGAAGCATCATTACTACATTTGACATAGTAGGACGATCACCTGGATCTTCTTGCACGCATAACAGTCCAACGTTTATGCACTTCATTGCCTCTTTCGGGTTGCATGATTCGAGCAATGAATGATCCAGCAAATGTAGTGCCCGTTCTTCTTTCCAGAAATTCCATGCCTGTGATATGATGATCATTTAGAATAATGAATATCAGGCCAACAGATTGGAACAAACTACTGGAAGTGTTTTTAGCTTCAGAATAGTAACTCACATAGCCTAAAAGGTTTGAAGCCTCTTTAGATTGATAAAACCCGGTGTTTCTCCTTCCTGTTATTATCTCCAGTATAACTACTCCTAAGCTGAATACATCTGACTTGATCGAGAATAACCCCTCCAATGCGTATTCAGGAGACATATATCCACTAAATTAATTACCAAATAATGAATATACCACGAGTCAGCTGTACGAATGCAACGAAGCAAGTTCATAATGGAATTATAAGAAACTAGCAATTCCTTCAGCATGTGCATTGTGATGTGCAATGTAATACTTACTAAGTTCCAACCACTTTCTTGGTATTTGCTTCTGTTGTTTTTTCTTCAACAATCCTTGCCAAGCCAAAGTCTGATATTTTTGGGTTCATTTCTTGATCCAACAGAATGTTACTTGTTTTCAGATCTCTATGAATAATTCTCAGTCTCGAGTCTTCATGAAGATAGAGAAGCCCTCGAGAAATTCCTGATATGATATCAAATCGCTTTTTCCATTTCAATGACTTGCTAAGCGTTTGATCTTCTTAGGTAACCATGGGGTAAATTTACCAACATCAAGCAAATAGAAAGATTAAGAAATCACCAGTGAACAAACATAAATAGATAGATTCAGATACTAACCGAATATGAAGGTGTCTAGACTTTTGTTTGGCATATACTCGTAAAGTAGAATCTGTTCATACCCTGTGATACAGTAGCCTAAAAGTCTGACTAGATTTCTATGTTGAAGTTTGGAAATCAGTATGACTTCGTTCCTGAATTCGCCAATGCCCTGTCTAGATTGACTTGATAACCTTTTTACAGCAATTTCTTGTCCACCTGAGAATATACCCTGGAAGAAAATTTTGATGTGGAAAGTAGGATATTATGGAATTACTATATAAAGTAGAACTGTTGAGAAAACCAACCCTAACCTTATAAACAGGACCAAATCCTCCTTGTCCAAGCTTTTGTGCATCTGAGAAATTATCTGTGGCTGCTAATATTTTTTCCAAACGAAAGAATGGAACAGCGATATCTTGCTTATCATTTTCGTAAATCAAGTTTTGTGCTTCTCTTTCTGTCCAATGCGGCACTGGATTCCCTTCTGTGCTTTGTTGGTTTGCTAAGATCAGAAAACAAGAATTTGAGATGTCTCTCTTGATCTGATTCAAACAAAAAAGGAAAACGGAAGGAGAAATTTTTCCAGTAGCTAGTGGTAAGACAATCAATCCAGAGAATACATCAACAACACATGTACCTTTTCTCTTTGCCATCTTTCTCCTATAATATATGTAACTAAAGCTGCATAAAGCTACAACTGCAAGGACTACCACAACAGAAATGATAACTTTAAGCTTCACGGACAATTGGCCTGATTTCGAAACTGATGACATAAAAGAGAAAACTTGAGATTTATTAGGATGTCAACTAAGAGACTGCAAAGAGATTCAATTCGCATACAACTCCTGACTTACCTTCACCGAGTGCTTGATCCAAGGCGTTAAGTCTGGTATAGATTACACTTCCACCGCCATCTTCTGGTGAGAGTTTCCTTAGATTCAACAATTCATCGTTCCAAATTGAACACACACTGGTATCATAAGCATAGGCATTACAGGAACAATCATTCAAGCAAATAGAATGGCATTCCTCAGCACTAGAAGCTGTAACAGTTTGAGAATGTTCAGGTAATGTCACCTTGGAATTCCTCAAAAAACCGCCCTTTGTTTTACCAGCAACACACTGCAAGCTTAACCTCCTTACACAACCACCGGAATGATCATTCAAGTCCCATTCTGCATCAGATCTAGGTGTGAAACCGGTCAAGCAATTACAAAAGGACGCGGACTCCTTATTGCAAATGCTAAAGGCACCACAACTAGCATAAACCTCGCAAGGTTGTCTTGGTTGAGTTGTAAAAAGTTGCCATTCCATCAAAGTTTCCACCCAAATCAGATGCCTGATTTGCCCTGAGACATCTAGTGTTAATCTAATTTTGTGAGAATTGCTTACAGAATACATAAAATAGCTCTCATTTTCATTATCAACATAACTAAAATTGTATCTCTGAGAATTCAAACTCATTTCAGGCATCAAGCTGAAAATTCGCCCGTTCCAAGGTCCAGTAGCTGAGTACATTTCAGTCCTGTTCCACTTTAAGAGGAACTGTCTATTGCTCTGATCCATCTCTACGGAAAAAAATCCCGGAGAAGGATCCTCTGAATTCTTCCAAGAAATAATTTTTTTTGTAGTATTAGAACGCTTGTCATATTTCGTTTTAGCATTTGGCAACCATGTGTCAGTCGGGTGATCAAAGCTTTGCCAAAGTGGAGGAGTTGAGTTTAATCCATCACTAAAAATCAAATTACCATCATCAGAAATAGTTGCTACTAGTGAATTTGAGCTGGTGGAGCTGATATTTGTGGACCAAAACAAGCTTTTGGATTCAGTAATAAGCACTAAATTGCCATCTAAAACTTTCAACTCGGCGGACATCATATCAGTAGCAGAAAGTGGCTTCTCCCTGTTTGCTACCCAAACTACGGTTTGTGGAATTACATTCCTGTACCATATACCAAGATAATATTTTTTCGACGTACCTGGTTTGAAGAATCCTAGCTCGAAGTTTTCACCTGAAGAGATTATAGTTTGGTTTCCAAAAATGGAGTGATTTACGGAGATCATATCTATTCCAAGAGACTGGTGGATACATAGAAGGATCACAAAAAGTAAGACAAAAAAATGCATAGCTGCACCAAATTTCTACATAGAATATACAGTACTAATTCTTATATTAAAGTCATGACTCTTATGTTAATGTAAGACTCTCTTTATCAAAGGGAACTTGTCTAAGTCAATAAGCACGTACGCGCTTAGTAAGTAATTTATCTGGACTTTGCTTAACAAATAGTAATAATTATCAAATAAGGCTGCCACCACTCTTCTATGTTGGGTGTTTGGTTCGGTTTGAATCGGTTTTTTCCCTAAAAAGAAATCAAACCAAGTAAGTAGGTTTTTCAAATATTGGAACCAAACCAAACCAATTAAGTCGATTTTATTGATTCAGTTTATGTCGGTTTTTTTAAATATGAAACATACACTACCAAACACATATTATGCCGACTACATTTCAGCGTAGAACTAGTCAACTAATAGCTCTTTGAGAAATTATATCAGATTGATGATAAAATTTTAGAAACTTTGTATAAAAATATACGTATATATAGGTATAATATTAAATTTTAAATATCTACTTTTATAGTCGGTTTGGTTCGGGTTTTTTTCGCTAATTTTTTTTTATTAAAACCAAAACCAAACTAAATTTAATCGATTTTTAAAATTCTAAACCAAAACCAAACCAAACCAAAAAGTATTGGTTTTTTCGATCAATTTGGTTCGATTTTAGGTTTAGCTGATTTTTTTGGTTTTTATGAACACGCCTAGTTCTATGGACTGGTTTTTTTTCTTAAGCACTGATATTTCTGGTCCCTCGACCCATATTCTGTAAAGGGACAAAACAGGGGATTAGCATTTTCTATTAATAATCTACACTTAAGGGTCATTTGGTTCATATATCAACTTATCTATAATTTGCTTACATTATTTTCACTCAATTATATACAACTACAATATCATAAAATTTAAATATAATTTTTATACAATATTGTTCAACGTTCATGCAATAGTTAAATAACATATATATATAGTTAGTTAAATAACATATATNTTTCGAGTTTCAATCTGAAATGCAGCCAAAATCAAGTCTAATCTTCACTAAAACACTCTCAAAATTGAAATATAAACTCCAAATCATATTCTTAATTGTTTGCAACAACACTCAATCCAAACAAATAATGGTTTTTGAAAACCCAAATTCAAATTCAAATTCAAAGCTTTTTAATGGCTGTCAATGGTGGAATTGCTACTCTCTTTTCCTTTGCTTTACATTAATGAAATTAGGAATTGAGAGATAGAGAGAGATGTAGAGAGAATTCTCAATTCTTTGCAACAACACCAAATTCAAACAAATAATGTTTTTCGGAAACTCAAATTCGAATTCAAAGCTTCAAAACTTTTTAATGGTTGTCAATGGTGAAATTGTTGTTCTCTTGTGCATGATACGTGGGGGAGGGGGATGGGATGTGGAGAGAGAAACGTGGGGGAATGGAAGATACGTTAGAGTGATTTTAGGACACTAATTATTATCATTAATTCCCTTAAAACGTACATAAATGGTAATTGGGTATATAAAATCTAATTATAGTAAAACTTGAGTAAGGAGGGTAATATAGTTTCATATAATGTTTAGTAAGGGAGTGTGATTACCGCATAACTTAAACGGGTATTAACAATGCAAAGTTTATTAAGGCCACAAAACGATGTACTATTAAGCTATGCGATTCTTTTGGACGAAATTTTGACGTGGTTTTTAATATTTTTGTAGTGTGGTCAACCAAATGACCCAAAAAAAAATCCGCTAGCCAACAGTGATAGACAAGAGAAGTACCAATATTGACTTGGTCAATCAGTGGGAAAACTACTAGCAACGGAAAGCGATGTTGGAAGGGTAGTCTTTTCGTTAAACTAATTAAATAAAAAGATTTGGGACAAATCCTAATCAGAGATAATTAATTCTAGATCTGAGATAGATGATAGGAATGAACAAATATTACTGAACATAAAATTTAATAACAACAGCGATTGAATCTCACAATGTAAGAAATAGATAATTGCTCCAATAATATCAAATGATAATGAAGAATACATAAGGGAAAAGAATCATCGTGCTTAAACAAGACCGCCCTCCGTCCATCTGATTATAGATGCATATCAAAATTCTAAGTTCTTCTCCCTCTTCTCGGCGAGGAGCCTGAAGTTAAGGAGCCTTTTTATCTTTTCAGGGATGTATGTGTTGTTGCATATGTGTGTGTGTCTTTTTTTCTTTTGTCACATTTCTCATGATATTTATACCAAACACTTTCCTTACCCAACGATCCTTAACCGGAGTACCTAAGTTCTTGGAATATCCTATAGAATATTCCTCTAAATATCTAAGTGTTGAACTGGTCGTTCGGATCGAATTGAGTGCTCGACCTAGACCGTAGCTAAATCACTCGCGGGCATATTGTTTCCTATACGCGACATCAGCTTGGTTGCTTCTTGGTTGCTCTTCCTTAAATAGAATTTCTTTGATCAGATTTTGACCAATACAGTTAGTCCCTCCGCCAATCGGGGTTGCCTTTGGGCGAGCTCGGTGGGCGGACTTCTCCAGTTGCACCTTTTGAGAAATCTAAGCACATTGGCTGAAGAGTAACCCTTCATAGCGAGATGACGATGCGATGCTTCTAGAGCCGTACTTGACCGTTCTGTCGGTTTGAAATGACGCCAATCTGTCATGCATCATTATGACGGGCGTTCCCTATACATTACGTCGTTTCCCGTGCTTCCTCTGCTTTGGAATTAACATGTCGACGTTTGGTTTTCTCGCTTAGGATGTTCGTATTCTTATAAATAGAGGAGAGAACTCTTCATTTGGGGTTGCTGTTTTTTTCTACATGTTATTCAAAAGACTCCATGCTTCTCTTTCCTCCTTCTTCAGATTCTTACGTTTCCATCTTTCTTCTTTCGAAGTTCCTTACCATTGTTACCCCCTCTATCCTAGCTCCTATCACCTACATCACCGAAGAAGACATGGCTAGTGCACTTTCTACTTCCAATAGAGTTGCCGGTACCGTTGCATTGAAAACGGATGTGCCCTCCCATGAAGAGGAGATGGCCCTTGTGGAAGATAAGAATTTTCCAACCATGGATGAGATAATTCCACGCTCGGGGAAAGCCAAGATTGATTTTAAGCATTTACTTGATGCCGATCTTGAGCCCGTTGTTTCCGTAATGGACACTGCGGCACTTGCTATGCTTAAGGCTAAGTGGAGGATTCCTGATCATGTTGAACTCGTTCCTGCGGATAATGACGTCGTGCAGATACATCGCACGGGGTACTGCGCATTTTATGCATACCCGTTTGTCATCAGTTACACACTTCCCCTTCCTTACGTTGCGGAATACTTTTGTCGTTATTATGGGGTGTGCCCGGATCAGCTTTACCCATATATATACAAACTTTTCTTCATGTTTACCAAGTACGCAGAACTGGCCAGCCGGGGGATTTCTCTTAGTCACTTGCTTCACCTCTTCGTACCCAGTTTTTACAGGGGTACTATGATACATTTTCGTCATCACGGGACCAAGGGATTAGTGATGAAGATGGACGACAAGACCAATCGCCGCTTTTGGGAGAGCTTCTTCTTTGTGAGGACGGAGCANCTATTTCACAGCTGAGAAGGCACCTCCGCTAGTCGTTGATATTCACGAGTGGGTGACCAAGTTTTTCCCTATACGATGAGGATTCGTGAATGGTCGCCATTCCACGAGAGATTCGGGCGTAGACCTTCTGTTGGTGAGTCAATTTGTCTTACATTTAGCTGTTTTGCCCTTTGCTCTGTGTTTTCCTCTTTGGTTTAAGCTTCCTTCTTTGGTATGTCTACGCGGCACGAGGAGGGTGAGGTCTCACGTACCTGCTTTCCATCCGTCGAGTCTCTCGACTGGACCTGCACCGATTGTGGCTGCACATGAGAGTGTTCAGACCACTGCTACTTTACAGACTACGGCCCCTCCCGTGCTCGGCCGTTGTGAGGATGGTCATCAGGTTGAGGCTCTGCTTTCCGTGATTTATTTGGTGGATGAGTCGTCTCAGGACGACGACGAAGAGGCTCCATTAAAGAGGCGGAGAATAAGGGCCAATGGGGTACCCAGGACTAGGGGGCCTTCGAGGAGCGAACCCGTGTTGGCAATGCCTGAGTCTGTTGGTGATGCCAATTTAGGTGAGGAGACCGTATCCCCCTCGGTCATGGAGGTGGTGCCTGTTTCTGGCATGGAATAATCTACCATGGTAGGGGGCATCACTCGGAGGCCGCTGCGATCATTCTATGTGGTCTATCAACTTCGTAACAGGTTCGTGCTCCCTCTTTGGCCAGCGAGAGGGCAAAGGGCATAGTCGTAGATTACTACGAATCTGGTTCGAATACACAAGGACATAATCATGTTTGAGGCAGGATTCACTCAGGTGGAAGCGGGGACGGATGATTCCTCCCGCGTGATTGAGATTGCCCCGGAGTCTGACTTGTTGGAGGAAACGGTGAGCCTGCTACTGAAAGCGGGTCCCTTCAGGAGATTAGTGATGCCGGCCTTCAGGCGAAGGTAGTGTCCATGCGGGCGGAGCTTGAGCAGAATGACATTAGGTTCGCCAGTTTAAGTGTTGAATTGGCGGAGAAGGTGACTGAATTGGAAGGGAAGGCGACCGAGCTGGAGAGGGTTGAAAGAGCCCGAGTTGCGGCCTTGGCGAAGGCTGCTGCGCTGGAAAGTACTATTCGCGTTCTTAGGTCCGAACGTTCCACTGAGATGGAGACAGTCATTCTGAGGGAGACGCGGCTTGATGAGAGGATTGGCGAGCTTGATAGGGACGTCTCGAGCCTGGGTGATCAAGTTACTGCTCTTGAGGCGGAGAAGGCGCAATTGTTGGCTTTGACTCCTCCTGCACCTGCCTCTGTTGACGTTCCTCGCCCTTTATACAAGATGTGGGTTCATGCTGAGGCTCAGCGGGATATATATAAGGGCTTGTTGGAAGCAGGGAATGTCTCTGAGGTCACTTTTGAAGAGGCTCGAGCTAAAGCGCGTGAGGCCCGGCTTGCCTATAGTTATAACCCCGCGACGCCGGAAGACGGTGGAGTTGATGAGGCCGAGGATGGGCTTGCCTTTGATGAGGAACATTCTGATGGAGAGGGTGATGGTGG